GCTGAGAAGTTGAAGCAAAGCAAAACTGTTGCCCTGGACGATGTATGGCTCATGCTGATGGCCAATTTAGAGAAAGCATACACTCCGGATTGTCATGTAACCGTCGATGAACAGTTATTTCCATATCGTGGGCGCACTCGATTCACCCAATATATTCCGAGTAAGCCGGCAAAATATGACATGAAAGTGTGGTGGATTTGTGACTCTGTTTAAAACTACCCTTTGAAAGGTATAATTTATACTGGAAAGCCACCAGGTGGCCAGCGAGAAACGAATCAAGGTGAACGGGTCGTCATGAAATTGATGCAAAATTATATGGACAGCGGTAGGACTGTTTATGCGGACAATTTTTTTTCAACATACAACTTGGCAGAAATGCTGATGAATCGTAGAGTGGCTTTTGTCGGTACCGTAAGAAAAAATAAGACCTTCATTCCGCATGAATTCCTTAACCCGAAGCGTGATGTTAAGAGCACTTTATTTTGTTATCACAATAATAATATCGGTCTGTGCTCGTATATGGCAAAGCCGAAAAAGCCAGTAATTATGTTAGCCACTGCCCATTACCGTCAAAGCACCGATCCATTGAAAGGATTCAAGCCAGATCAAATTTTGGACTACAATAAATTTAAAGCGCGGGTAGATACAATGGATCAAATGTTGACTGGCTATTCGTGCAAACGCTCGACAAACCGTTGGCCACTGGCAATGTTTTATAATATGCTGGATATTGCCGGTTTGGCCTCATTCATCATCTATGACGAGCTGAATCCGGCAAAGCAGAGTGATAAGAGGCGCTCATTTATCATTGAATTGGCACGGCAGCTAGTTATTCCACATATGACGAAACGGGCGACTAACCCATTAGTATGGAGGTTTGCTCATATAAGATAAGCAATGCATCTTTTCAATATCAAGGTGAGTATGAATTATAACACACCTACATATATATCCGCGTAAAAAGATATGTGTAGGCATGTATTCATATTTACTAATTTAAAATAAATTATTTCGCTACTTTTAGGTACCGGAATTTTGTCCATCGACATCAGATGCAACACAGCAACAATCATATGCTCAAGTTGCTTCAAAACGGTCATCGTGCTACCATTGTGCTGCTTCTTCTTCGAAAAAGCGACGTAAAACTCGTTATAACTGCAGCAAATGTAATCGTCCCATATGTCTTAATGAATATTCCATGCAACTATATAGTTGTAAACCCAATTGCTCTTCATAATTAATACTAATCCGTTCAAATAAATAAATAAAATTATTTTTAAAACCGTATTTCTTACATTATTTTTATGGGTCTGGGCAGACCCTTATGATGCACTTACCACATCATAAGGCACCGAACATCGGAGGGTTAAACAAAACCGCCCACCGAAATTCAAACAATTTTAAAATATTTATTAAACCAAATAATTATTCTTCAGAATAATTGTTATTTCTTGCATGTGAACGCTTATAATTATATTTACTTATTAAAATAACAATATGCACAAGAACCTCTTGCATGCTTTTGGAAATATTTCACAGCAGAAATGTCCCGTTATGAGCAGTTACTATTTTATTTTCTGAACGACATATTGTCGCCACACAGTTCACTTTTTCTCAGGAAATTTGTTTGCCTACAAACCGCGCGCTCAAAATGTAGAAACAAATTTCGGTAAATTTGCAAAATATCAAGCTTGTGTTGCATGCCTTTTTTTTTTTTTTTAAATACGCAAAATTATCACAATTATTTTAAATGTTATTACCGAATAAGAATACAAAAATGGAATAATTATTTTTGTATACATATATGTTTTGTTAAATATACTATAAAAACTGCGTCTAATATAAGGCGAATGTATGAACATTGATATTTGTCCATACTGACCTATTGTTTAATGGGGGCATTGACCCCAAACTTTTACCGTTTTATCTAAATACATAACCGATGTTTGAAAACAAGGACACCCCTAATATATATACCCCTAATATATATACCCCTAATATATATATATATATATGTGTATGTATGTATACGGACATATCCCCGCAAAAACTTTAAGGTACACGTGGACTATGCTCTGAAACAGACCTGGTTACATTTCTAACCGCATGTTGTGCTGCACTTTTTCGTAATTATTCGGATTATTGATTCGGTTCAGCCTAATTTAAATAATAGATCTTTATTCAGTTCCTAATTTTTTTTAGTAAATAATCAGGAAATTTTCTAGAAATTTTTATTTAGTTAATCTGGGTACAATAATATGGAAAAGTGTGTAATTTTAATATCTGTTAAATGATAAATTATCGGCGATTACAACAAGTTCGTTTAAATAACCCCGCTTTAACGCCCATTTTTTTCATTGTAATGATGCCACTTTATGGAAAATTAATGATATTAAATAGTTAAAATACAATTACTCTAACTTGAATCATAATAATCTACTAAAAACAACTTTGAGTGAAAGAGATTTAGAATTAGGGAAAGACATATGTATGAATTTTGACCAATTCAGGAGCTCGAATTATGGAGAACTTTGAATTATAAAAGTTCGAGTTATGGAAGTTAAACTAAATATACAAGTATATTGTAAATTTTATATCTGTTTACAGTTTTTTCATAAAATAGTAAGTTTTATAATCTAGACAGCTCCAATGATGGAACAATCTAAAGCAATTATTTATGATACGGCTGTTTAACAAAAAGAAACGTACGGGGGTATGGGAGGAATATAAAAGCAGCCTATCCTTATACAACAAGATTCTGTGAAAATGTCAACTATATATCAGAAGAAGCTAGGCTGCATTAGGTACTAGGCGATCAAATGAAGCGATGGAACGTATACGTCCAGCGCGGAATATACAGATACGGCACATCTGCGGGCGCACTTCCCGGAAACAATCCATCTCGTTCAATATGGGTAATCTCAAGGCAATTACTTACTGCGGATTTGATAGATAGAAATGACCAACATGGTTAAATATCTTAGTCCCACATATTGGTAGAAGCAGCATGTTGACGTGACCTTGGTCAAGGCGACAAAATCACTAATGGAGTGCACTCGGCTGGCTAGAAAATCCTGGAACGGCAAACCAAGGATTTTCGATGGTTGTACATGATGATCGCGCGGTCGATAATCACATATGGGGCGGTGGCCTGGCCCTCAAAAGCTTCGCAGACTTCGGTAGCTGCTGCTATCTTTATGAAGACTACAGGATTAAATTTGGATGATATAGTCTTATTGGTTTCGACGATATACATACATGTACATTAAACTTAATAGAGTCTGTCAAGCGCAATTTTTAAAAATTTTCAAACCACTGTTGCCACTTTTTAATGTAACTTATTGTCTTAATATTAAAAAGTTTACATTAATTTATGGCTTAGTGCCATAACTTTATACTTTTTCGATTAATGGCGTTTTGTGGGCGTGGCAGTGTTCCGATTACGTCCATCAAGATGTCTTAATTGTTACTAAATTTCTGCTTGCACTGACGAACTTTGGAATGACGCTATACTGCATATACCGGAAAATACGTGTGTTATATCAATGAAAATTAGAGACTGTTTTACTTATCTTTATATATAAAAATCACGTGTCAAGTTGTGTATCCGCGATGGACTCCTAAACTACTGAACCGATTTTAAGTTTGATTGCACACCGTGTGCAATTTGATCCAACTTGAAAGTCAGGATAGCTTACATCTCAATTTAAAATCGCAATATTATATTATTGCAAATTATTTGGCTATTACTTGACAGTCACAATTATTTGTTGACTCCAAAAGGTTCTAACATATGGCGCTAATTACACTGGTTTACAGCAAAAATGTTCCATGAACGCCTCTATCCAATTTGTATGAGGAATAGCTCGCTGATTTCGAAAATCGAATAAATTTTTTTCTTTGGATACGTTTTTGAGATATTTGCAATTTACCGTTTTTCGACCAAAAAAAAAAGGTGTCTTCATTTAATCATGTATATCTCACTGATAAGTTGAGCAATCTTACTGCAAATTATAGAAAATAAAAGTGAATGAAATTTCGTAAAAATATTGTCTACTCCATTTTTCCACAAGCCTTATAACTTCCGAGAAATTGATTAATCACTTCGAGTTTTTAAATTTTTTTATGAAAAAATTAAAAAAAAATAAACTTTGGCAAGGAAAAAAATTTAAAACAAAAGATATTTTTTAAATTTTTTTTAAATTTAAATGAATTCCCGTTTCTTTATAAAAAAACTAAGCTACCAACCAACAAAATCCATGGATAAATAATAAAGTTGTACATGATCAAATAAATATATCCAAGTCGCGCAAAGTCAATGTATACGTATATGCGTATGTAGTGTGTAAAGTAGGGGTGGGATTGTTTTCGAATATCATTAGAATAAACTAATAACGCAATTCGTTTAAAAAAAATCAAATAATACTTTTAGAACAGTAATACTCAAATACTGCTGTAGTAGGTAGTTTGCATCGAAAGCAAGAGGTGTCAGGTTCGAAACCCCTGTAGTTAGTTGCTTAAAATTCCTAATGCAAATAAATTTAATTCAAACATGCATACCTACATGCACACATATCTTGGTAAATTCATTAATTTTTTTAAGGCCAACATCAACAGCAGGTAGGTTTTTCTTTTCCCGGCTCGTTAATATGAGCTATTTTGTTTAGGTAGGTTTTGCCTTTTTTTATTTTTTCGCGATTAAGCTATATAAGTTAAGATAACCAAGGCAAATATAATGTTTACCACACTGGTTAACGAACTTAAGTAACCTGGTCAAATCTTTCGTTTTACCTAAGGGTTAAGATCCTATAAAAAATTATAAATCAACAATTATAAAATGATCCGCGGCCTGCGTGCGTGGCATTCGCTGATTAGCCAGCATCACAAGAATACAACAAAACAGTCGGATGTTCCCGCCAAAACAGGCGTCCTACCAAAGCAACAACACACCTCACCATTTCCAGTCATTGCGCGAAGCAATCAATGCCTTAAACTGCTCCACCTAACAACAACTCCTAAGTTCGACTGGGCGCGAGTAAAATAACAACAACGCAGAGAAGACGCTGAGCTTAGGCTAAGAGTAATGAAACCAAATTGTAAAAATTYAATTAGTAATCAGCAATAAAGCGAGCAATATCACCATAAGTAAAAACCTGCATTCTAATTAATTTATATAAGGATAAATGCCCCTTGAAAGTTCATAATATCTGTAAGGCTCACCGGTTCCAGTTTATAATTACAATATAAGAAACCGTGAGCTATTTTTAAAAATAAAATGAGTAAACGTAAGCGACAATTTGAGTGTACCAACGATCCGGATATGTTCTGTTACATATGGGGTGAATATACTCTTGTACGGCATCGGAGGCAGTTTAGAGATTCGATCCAATCTATATATTCAAAATATTTTGGTATTGAGCCTAAAAATATTGATAAACCACGGATTCCGAATATTTTGTGTTCCTTGTGTCGAATAATATTGGTTCACTGGGAATCAGGATCAACAAAGTACGTATTAAAATTATGAAACTATGCTTCTTATTATTTAATAGTAATTTTTAATTTTTTTCTTTTTCAGGCGATACATGAAATTTAATGTACCAATGATATGGCGAGAACCTACATGCCACTCAGAAGATTGTTATATTTGTATGACAAAAGTACTTGGCTTTGGAAAATCAAGAAAAGTGATTTATGCTAACGTACCTAYCGTTTCATTGCCAGTTCCACATTCAGCTGAAGTTGCGTATCCAGTTTCGTTGTCAGCAGCAGTATCTGAAAGATCATCTGAATATAGGAAATCAAGTTGTAATGAATTTTTAATGGAAAACGAGAGAAACGTTTTATCACAAGCGCAACTAAATGATTGGATTAGAGATTTGGAATTATTCAAGGGAAAAGCTGAGCTACATGCCTCTCGTATGCAACAATTTCAATTCGTTTCACCCCATGTTAAGGTGACATAGTATAGAAATCGTCAAGAACCATTTGCCAAACACTATACGAAGGAATACAATGTATGCTATTGCAAAGACATTCCAGGATTGTTCAAAGAGTTTGGTCAACCATATGATTCCAAGGAGTGGCGATTGTTCATAGACAGCAATAAACTGAGCTTGAAGGCCGTATTACTGCATAATGGCAACAAAAAGCCCTCGATCCCGATCGCGCATGCAGTAAACACGAAGGAAATATACAAGGTAATGAAGAAATTGTTAAAATTCATCAAATATGAAG